AACCCCTAAGCCCCTAAACCCCTTAACCCTAACCCTAAACCCTAAACTCCTAAACCCTAAACCCCTAAACCTTAAACTAATGGTTTCTGGGGTGTCAGGGTTGGGTGTCGGGTTTTCTTTGGGTTTAGGGTTTTCTTTGGGGTTTAGGGTTTAGGGTTTTCTTTGGGGTTTAGGGTTTAGGGTTATCTTTGGGTTTAGGGTTTTCTTGGGGTTTAGGGTTTAGTTTTTTGCGGGGGTTTTGGGTTTAGGTTGTTTTTTGGGGGTTTAGGGTTTAGGGCTTTTCACGGGGGAGCCGAAGGTTGACCTTTGGTGCCACTTTAGGGACTATGTAGGCCCTCAACCTGACATTTGTCGTCAAATGAGGGGCATGTCGGTGCCTGGCCGTAAAGTTAAGGCTCTGGGCCGCGCAGAGTGTAGCGCTGCAGATTCTACGATATCTGGGCTAAAGAAGACCGACATGTGATGTCCCCATACCGTTCCATAGACATGTAGCTTCAAAGGCTTTTTCCGGTGGAGATCAGGGTTGCACCTTTACCCCAAGGCTGCATTGTTCCTCAACCCTAAATCCTAAACTCGAAATCCGAAACCCTAAACCCTACCTGGACCCCAAAGAACCTTCCTTTTTAAGGACTTATATAAAGAAATCATAATGAATATGTATATATATCTATATATATATATATATATCGGAACCCTAATAAGGGAGGGTTTTGCAGGGTTAAGGTAAACCCTTCAGGAGACTTCTGCTTCTGAGCAGCCATGCGAGGGAATCTGATGAAATGGTTTGCGATCCCAAGGTAGTACCTGGGCTTTGAAGTAACCTGGGAGAAAAAAGTATAGACTTTTATTTCATAAGGGTTCCTTTAAGGAACAGGTCCCAGAAAAAATATTAAAGTATGGTACTCCAAAGCCCAGGTACCGCCCGCTGGTGTAGGGCTTTGCCTCCACCGTTTCGGTGATCCTCAGACTGCCAAAGTCTAAACCTTAACAAAAGCTACAAAAGATGAACCGTTAAAATCCCAAACCTTTCAAACCCGAAAGATCCTATGCACCCTGAACCCTAAATCTTTTTAACCCTAACTTCTCCGAACTCTAAACCCTTCTAAGCCGGAGTGTCCACAACAGGATGGCGGAGTGGACAGTTGGTGAACGCTTCTACTCCCGGAGCCGTTATGTTCCAGGGTAGCAGCACAGCATCGTGAACTCATACGTGCAGAGACTGCAGATATCGAAGACAAGCTCCCTGACCCTAAGGGTCCAGTTACCCAAATGTATATACCTTGGCCCCAAAGTACCTATATGGGGACTACTTTAAGGACAAAGTATATACATGGACCCTTAGGAAAAGTGTTTTGGGCCTGGGTGGATGTGGATCTGCACGCACTGGCATTGAAGCTCCTACGAGGCGGAAACCCTAAACCCGGGTTTAGGGTATAGTATGAACAGTATGATATATAGCGTGTGAAAACATGTGCATTTTGTTATACTCTATCCAGCGCAATATCTGCGAGATGGGAACAACTGGATTTAGCCGGAGTGGTACTCAGGCGACATAACAGAACTGGTGCCAACACAGACCAGGACAAAGAACGGCTGGGAGTTGAAAGACTTCGTTGCATTGCATGCCTCTGTTGGTCCTCCAACCTTGCTGCACCGGCCTGAAAACTCTCAGTACAGCTACGGAAACAAACAGAACATATCAACCCCCAGATCTTCTAGCAACCGACAGCTTGTGGAGAGCAGACTGCTTCATGATCACACAGCCCTGAACAGTTTGAGTCTGACAAAGGCTGCCGTTGCAACTCGAGATGAGGGCGTGGTCCCTGGTATGTTCATGCGAAATGTGGCGGCACTTGCCCTCGATGAGGGATATCACCTGCTTTAACCGGAAGTGTCGGACTATTCTGCACACAACTGTGACATAACCATCCACGATAAAACTCGAAGGATCCGATATCAGAGCCTGAAGAAGAGTATTTGGTGCGGATCTTACGGTGAACTGTGGCTAGTTAGACCTGTTTTAGAAACCCGGAACCCTGCACGCAGATTCCAAAGAGTGGTCGAACATCGGAAGAACTCCGGCATGCAGCACAGGCACTTGCTGTAGTTTAAACCATATTCCTGAAAGGCAGTTTGGGGAGTTGGTCGAATATAAGAGCCTTGAACAATACAATAGCAGGTAGATCAGATAATTCCATAATATAGGGACCATGAGGGTATCTAGTTAAAAATGTTCTGACCCCGGTCCGAACCCTACATTAGGGTTATCGGGTCTTGTGGGCTGTCGGGTCACCGGGCTTCGATTCAGGGAATATGGGCTGAAGCTGGCCCCAAACCCTACTAGATATGTTCCTCGGGTAGACTCGCTGTTGTCAGAAGGCAGACGTAGAACCCCAAACCATAAACCCTAAACCTTCCGGTTCAGAGCTGTACATATATATATATATACATATATACATACATACATATCGTTCCAGAGTCTCCTTGTGCCACGTTGCAGGGCGTTTAGGGGTTCAGGGTCAGTTAGACTTTCACTTCCACAGCTATACACATTCAGCAAGCCTCTGGGGAGGAGTGCGCAACACCACATATCCTGCGTTTCGACTCCCTGGAAACAGGTCCAACCCCTCCAGATGTAGGTCAGAAGGAACGTTGGATAACACACACCCCTCTGCACCCGATCCATGTAGATGATAAGGAAGATCGACATCGGACTGATTCACCTTCTATGAGTCAATGGGTACGGCCTGAAACCAGGTAGTGCGTTTTTGGCAGTTGAAGCAGCAATCTCCTCAATATCAGGGTACCTTATTTTGGGGTCCTCATACAACGGATCCTATTTTTTAGGGTACTATCTTAGGGTCCCCTATTTTCGGAAACCCCATGTAAAAACCGAGATTCTACGCTGACTAAGATTTCGAAAGGAGCCCTGCATCACTCATGAACTACCTAGCAAAAGCCCTACTTCATGTTTAGGACCCTTCTGAACGTTGAAATATACATTATATATATATATATATGTATAGAAATATATACCCTAAACCCTAAACTGTATATACATATATATATATATATAGATATATAGATATACAGCTTACTATTGTTGAGCCTGCTAGAAACAACGGTTCACGCAAGGCCCGCTTTGACTCTGCCGGGCTGCTTGGTACTCCAAGGAGTCGAAACTGAAAATAAGCCTCAAGGGCTCGACAGGTTTAGGGCTTAGGGCTTAGGGTTTGGAGTATCGAAGCATGTCTGAGAAGCTGAAATAGTATTCGTTCTCGTAGTAACAGCAGTGGTAGCAGGAGCCTCTGATGCTACTGCTGCTACTACTACTTACTACTACTACTACTACTACTAGTACTACTACTACTACTACTACTACTACTACTACTACCACTACTACTGCTATTGCTACATCTCATCCTGCGCCTCCTAACCCAAGGATGAGGAGCTGGCTAAGCTTCGTCCACGAGTTCTGGGCGCAGTGCGCACGTAAAGTAGGCTTGGGTTTAGGGTTTAGGGTTTAGTTTTTATGTTTCGCGTTTAGTTTTTAGGGTTTTGGGTATAGTTTTTAGGGTTTTGGGTTTAGGGTTTGGCTTCCTCGGCCGACCGGAGCCGCTTCGGCTCACCACATTGTTGAGCAGATCCCCAGAGAAACAAACACAGCGTATGATATGACAGTACAAACTTGTTACAAATGGAAAACTTTTGTAGTGTCCAGCGAAAGCCGGACTCTGCAACTACAACTAGAAGATGTTATAAGGAGTCTGCCCCTGGCCCTTCACCCAAGATCAGGAAGGCAACAATACCACAGTGGCAATGCCCGCGACGACCAGCACCGGCCAGAGACAGGCCTCGTCGAATGTTCAAAAGGGATTAGGGCCTAGGGTTCAGGGTTTAGGGTTTAGGGTTTAGGGTTTAGGGCTTAGGGCTTAGGGAAGCAACCCATTGCACACGAAGGCTCACGCAGGTGCCCTTTGGGATCCTTGCTGGTTATACCAAGACTTGTGCAGACTTTGAGTTCGCGATCCATGGGTTTAGGGTTTAGGGTTTAGGGGCTAGGACATGAGGAACCCAAAGCGTCCAGGTGCTTTGGCCTAAAGTGATCCCTATAATGGAAACGTTGGGGCTATTTGGATACGTTTAGGGGGTCCAAAGTACCGATATTGTAGAGTACTCCTAAGT